CACCCTCTCTTAATTTGTAATCTTCAAATGCTTCTTGAATTTCTCAAACTTATCAATCGTCATTGGCTTTGTCATCATATCGGCTGGTTGATCGTTGGTATTTATGAACTCCATGCAAATTTTTTCTTGATTTACCAAATCTCTTATAAAGTGATGACGAAGTTCAATATGCTTTGACTTGGCATGAAAAACTGGAGTTTTTGTCATCGCAATTGTTGACATATTGTCGCAATAAATTGTTGTTGGTCCTTCCTTCTCAAATTTCAAATCTTTCAAAAAATTTCTAAGCCAAATAGTTTCGCAAGTTGAATCTGTAGTTGCGATGTACTCTGCTTCGACTGATGATAAACCAATGGATTTTTGCCTTTTTGAGCTCCAGGAAATCACATTTGATCCAAGGAAAAAGATGTATCCAGAAGTGCTCTTCTTATCATCAACTGATCTAGCCCAGTCACTATCTATATAACTAACAAGTTTGCAATTATTTTCATTTTTAAACTCTAAGCCATGATTCTTGGTTCCTTTAAGGAATCTCAAAATTCTTTTTGCTGCTGCAAAATGTAGTTTACTTGGTTCATTCATAAATCTGGATAACAAACTGACTGAATATGTAATATCTGGCCTTGTATTAAGATAAATCAATGAACCAATCAATTTCCTGTAGAGTGTGGCATCAACTTTTTCTGCATCATCATAAACTTGCAATTTTTCATTTAAGGCCATCGGAGTAGATATTGGCATGCACTCACTCATTTTGAATTTTTTGAGAAGATCATCAATATACTTTTCTTGAGAAAGAAAAATTCTTCCTGGCCTTTGCTTTACTTGAATCCCAAGAAAATATCTCATGAGTCCTAAGTCTGACGTTTCAAAATCTTTCATCATTTTCTTTTTGAATTCATCCACCATATGTTCATTTGTTCCAAAGTAGATAAGATCACCCACGTAGATGCATACAATAAGAAAATATTTTTCTACGTTTCTCACGTAGAGGGATGATTCACTTGTGCTTTGATTGAAGCCATTTTGAATAAAATAGCTATTGATTTTGCTATTCCATACTCAGGGTGCTTGCTTTAACCCATATAATACTTTTTAAAGACGATAAGCTTTGCCTTCTTTGCCTTTGATTTTGAATCCTTCAGGTTGTTCAACATACACTTCTTCTTGAATTTCGCCTTTAAGAATGCTGATTTTACATTGAGCTGAAAAACTTTTAACTCCAATTGAGCTGCCAATGCCAAAAGTATACGTATTATCTCCATTCTTGCAACTGGAGCAAATGTCTCTGTGAAGTCGACTCCTAGTTGTTGAGAATATCCTTTGGCCACGAGCCGAGCTTTATATTTTTGAATTGACCCGTTTTCATTGTATTTGATTTTATAGACCCATTTCAAACCAATGGTCCTCTTTCTTTCTGGTAGCTCAATGAGTTCCCAAGTTTTATTTTTCTCAATGGCGGATATTTCTTCATTCATTGCTATTGTCCAACTTTTGTCTTTTGAAACTTCTTCATATGATTGAGGTTCACAAGAGAATAATCCAAGTTCCTGTGATTCATATATTTCTCTTAGTGAACGTGTTTTTCTTGGGGGGTTTTCTGATTCTTTTTCAATTGTTGGAATATTTGGAGCTGTATGTTGTTCAGTGTTGGAAATTGACATCAATGGATCATCAAATTGATAGGGACTGGAATCTATGACTTGCTTTCCCTTCCAATCGTAAGTTGTATTGTTATCGAACACAACATCTTGGGAAACTGTTATTTTATTTGTCTCTGGGTTTAGTAAACGACATCCTTTAGACTCGTCACTATACCCAATGAGTAGAAGTTTTTGTCATTTCTCATCAAAATTTTCTCTATTTTGTGATGGAATGAAGGCATAGGCAATGCTACCAAAAATTTTTAAGTGATCTATCTTTGGCTTCTTTTTGTGCCATGCCTCGAAAAGAGTTTTATTTCTAATAGCTTTTGTAGGAGATCGATTGAGAATATATACTGCCATATTTACAGCTTCTGCCCAATAAAGATTTGGAGTTCCTTTGCCTTTTAGCATGCTTCTTGCCATTTCAACAATGGTGCGATTCTTTCTCTCAGCTACTCCATTTTGTTGTGGAGTTCTGTTAACTGTCAGCTGCCTTTGAATGCCATTATCTTTGCAATTTCAATGAAGGGATTGTAGAAAAATTCTCCTCCACGATCGGTCCTCAACATCTTTATTAGAAATCCATTTTGTCTTTCTGCAAGTGCTTTAAACTGGAGAAGAGTAGAGAATGCCTCAGATTTTTTATTGAGAAAGAAAATCCACATCATCCTTGTGTAATCATCAACAAAGAGAATGAAATATCTCTTGTTTCCAGGAGTGAGAGTTTGCATTGGTTCGCAAATATCTGAATGGACAAGCTCCAATGGTATTTTTGCTCGCCATGAAGTTTTAGGAAATGAAAGCTTATGCATTTTCCCATATACACAGCCTTCACACACTTTGTCTATCATTTGAATTTTAGGAAGCCCAATCACCATATTTTTATCCTTATGCAATTGAAGTCCTCTGTCGTTTAAATGACCATATCGAAAATGCCATAGATGTGACAAATATGCATTTTCAACTTTAAGTGCACAATTGTTGTCTAGTGGTAACATGAGAGAAAAAGTTTTGTTTTTCATTTCAACATTTGCCATTATGACATTTTTCTTTTTATCAAAGATCTTGCATCTCTCATCATCAAAGTGAACTGAAAAATTCTTTTGCAAGAGTTGTTAAATACTTAAGAGAGTATATGAAAGATTTGACACATAAGAACATCAGTAATAAGTTCTCTGTTACCTCCCTTAGTTTGGACTGCAATGATGCATTTTCCTTCTGCGCGTCTTTGTGTTCCATCTCCAAGAATAATTTGTGAGGTGATATTTGGATTGATATCTACAAAGATATCTTTATTTCCTATCATGTGATTGCTAGCACCACTATCCAAATGCCATTGATTCTTGGATTCAAAGTCACCATTTTGATGAGAATAAAATAGAATTTCATCTTTACTCTCTTTTAAAAATTTTGCCCCATCTTCATTTTTCTCCTTATTTTAAAATCAACAATCCTTTTGAGAATGATTAGGAACTTAGCATCTTTTGCATTTAAAATAGAAATCTTTTGATTCATGATTGTTCTTTTTGCAAATAATGTAAGATTGAGTTTTACTGAATTGTTGTGGTGCCTTGGCTTTCCAATTGCTTTGCTTTTCATTTTGACTCCACTAGCTAAACTTTCCTTTTTTGTTGTTTGAACCTCCATGATTTCTTGAACTTATTTTTAATGCTTGCTTTGATTGGAAAGCTTGTTCGGTTGGTTGACTAGCCGAATGATTGATTCTTTGCTCATGTGCAAGAAGTGATCCAGTTAACTCGTACATGGTCATCTTAGACAAATCCTTTGATTCTTCAATTGCGGTGGCTACATGATCGAATTTTGAAGGGAGACATCGAAGCACTTTTTCAACAACTCTTTTGTCTTTAATTGTATCTCTGCAACTTTTAATTTGGTTTACAATCTTTGAAACTCGTGAAGAGAAATCACGAACCGACTCCCTTTCTTCCATTTTGAGATTGTCAAAATCTTTCCATAAAGATTGAAGTTTCAAGGCGATAGTTTTTTCTGAACCTTGAAAATCTTGATTTAAAATTTTTCATGCATCTTTGGCATTTTTAGCACCAAATATACAAGGAAAAATTGACTTTCTAACTCCTTGTTGAATATATCGCAACCCCATTTCATCTTTCTTTTTATATTCCTTTTGTAACTATGGATCTTCTTCATCTCCTTCATTCGAATCTTCTATCACCTCATCTTCTTCAATGACATCCCATAAAACTAAAGAGATGAAGAAAGTTTGCATTTGACTACTCCAATATTCATAATGCTCACCTTCAAAGATTGGTACTTGACTTGGCAACTCCTTGTTGAATATATCGCAACCCCATTTCATCTTTCTTTTTATATTCCTTTTGTAACTATGGATCTTCTTCATCTCCTTCATTCGAATCTTCTATCACCTCATCTTCTTCAATGACATCCCTTAAAACTAAAGAGATGAAGAAAGTTTGCATTTGACTACTCCAATATTCATAATGCTCACCTTCAAAGATTGGTACTTGACTTGGTGAATAAGTGAACAAGGAGGCTGCTGAATTTGTTGCCATAGCTGCCCAGTTTCTGTTAAAAATCTGCTGCTGCTATGGTGATTTTTGGGGTTGATTTTGTTTCAACTTTTGGTAGGATTTGGTTTATATGTTTTGCCTAAGCTCTGATACCAAAATTTGTTGGGCGTACAAGGAAATAAATAAGAGAAATATGAAATTTTTCTTATGAAATTTGAGGAATTACAAAGGAGTTGTTACAGCACACTCTTTCTCAATTTTTTTGAGAGGTTTTTCTCACTTTTTCTACATACATCACACTAGATGGATATCTCCCTATTTATAGAAAATATTGAGTAAACTAGTTTTACTAATTCTCTACAATTACAACTAGGTAAAAGCTATTTTTCTTCATCATTTACAGCTGGAACATAAGCATTTGCAGCTGTGTTTGAACATCACATAAGTGTCAAATGGCTGCTGACTGATGTAATTTCCAGATTGCATAACATCAGAATATATATTGATTGCTGTCTATGTTAATTTCCAGCTTGCATAAGTTGAGTATACAACTTGAATTGAAAATTTTATCCTTTGACCATTCAATGAATAAAGCCATTGTTGGTTGAAGTGTTCAATTTTGATTTGAACTCTTTGAATCTTCTTTTGTTGTTGAAGTTTCGAATTTGGATTTGGACTAGATTAAGATTACAAATTACTCTAGAACTTTTAACATTAGCAACATCCTTAGTTTTTATCTTGGTGGAGCAGTCCCAATAGATTACTACCCCCACTTCCCCATATATACCCCACGAGGACCCGACCGTGTCCCATCATCAAAGGTAAATAAGAAAGTCACAATAATTCAAATCTAAAGTTCCATCATTCTACACAATTACCAACCTGGAAATCTCATGTTATCTTCGCTTTAAGCCGCTATTTCACGAGGGAGAACAATGGCCACTCCATTTCTATACTATAATTTAGCAAACAGCTAGCTTGTGGAGAAAATAAGTGTTAGACAATCAGGGCTTCCAAGAAACGTTTCTCAGAATCTTTAAAAGAGAAAAAAAGTGAAAACTGACTCAAAGACAAGGAGCTTTGAATCCTTTTTATACATATACATGAAGTGATAGTACTAGTACTATATATATAGAAGGAGAAGACTAAGACTAAGACGAAGACGAAGACTAAGAAGAAGAAGGTTAAGTTTAATTGTGAGTGATCTGGTCGGGTGTACGTAGCAGGGAAAAAGATATGGCCCCAGTCGGATTGCCTCCAGGTTTCAGGTTCCATCCGACTGATGAAGAGCTTGTCAATTATTATCTCAAAAGGAAAATTCACGGCCTCGAGATTGAACTCGATATCATTCCAGAAGTTGATCTTTACAAATGTGAGCCATGGGAATTAGCAGGTTATTCCTCACTCTTCTCTATATCTTTGTGTTTGGAAATGATTAGACAGTATTTCTATAACATAATACTGTCAATTTCTTAGTTTTTCATCACATGATTTTGAAACTTGAATATTGTTATTTTATTTCCGAGTCTTATAACATTGCTACTGCAGAGAAATCATTTTTCCCGAGCAGAGATCCAGAGTGGTATTTTTTTGGACCAAGGGACAGGAAGTACCCAAATGGATTCCGAACAAATAGAGCAACAAGAGCAGGATATTGGAAGTCCACCGGGAAAGATCGGAGGGTGAGTAGCCAAAATCGATCCATTGGAATGAAAAAAACATTGGTATACTATCGAGGTCGAGCTCCTCAAGGAATTAGGACCGATTGGGTGATGCATGAGTATCGTCTTGATGATAAAGAGTTCGAGGAGACTTCTGGGATTCAGGTAGCTTGTATGGTTATACCAATTAATCACAATCACATGACGTATAATTTTTAACTACACTTACCTTCGTGATGGTCTAGATCATCCTCCCTCGATTCAATTCTTCAAAGTTATGTTTGTTTGTTATTGCATTTTTCATGGCTGCCCTCATAATATTGCTAAACTGATCTTGTGAACTTGATTTGATGATCACAGACACACACGCACGCATGCGCACACACAGAGTAATTCTTGTATATCAGTGTCTGCTCCCTTTATTTTTCTTTTGATAAATACTTCCTTTTAATTTTAATTTTTCATTTTAGGATCCTGACCATTTTTCCTCGAAACATGTAGCTAGTCCACTCTTTAGTTCTGTTGATACAGATGTCACGTTTTCATTTGTAAAGCACAAATTTCAGGCCTTAAATTGATAGAAAAGCTTTTACCCCTCTATTTTGATCTTCTCTTTTTCACTTAAAAGATGGATAGACAGCAAGATAACTACTCTTTAACATGTGCCTAGTCGATAATTGAGGGAAAATTTCTTTACGAACCCTTATTTTTCTATATATAATGAACTCATTTTCTATATATATATTGTATGGATTTGGAGTCGACTAACTCAATCCTCTAAGATCATGTATATCCATGTCTAGATTAACATGGGAATTGAAATCCTTCTTTTTCCAACAATATTATAAAGTTGGAGAGGAGAATATGTTACGTGAATTGCATGGCATGCATGGAAAATAAAACTAAAGTCACTGCTTTTGTCACCCTTAAACCACCACCTTTATCTTAATATAATCAGACAGGATATATTATTATATTATAATGTGATTCTTTAAAGATATAGTAGTAAGAAAATTACTGACATATTCTTTACTTGCACATTTCTTAGATCTCTTGAGTGACAAACTTTGGTTTCACTTTGTCTTTCTGGAATGAGACAAAAGTACTATCTCCCCATATGACTGAATCTTATCACCCCAATCATCAGTTTACTAATTTGATAATCATAAGAATTCCCACCTTTAGATTCTGCAAAATATACAATGTTACATTATTTATATATGCTGACATAAAAGCAGCCCTCCCCTACCCCTACCCCTCCCTTCCTATACTTCACTTTCATTTCTGTAAGAAGGTGTCGGTTACTTTTCACTTTATTCTTCCACTTCCCTGAATAAGACAATGGATTGCAACCCTTATGCAAGTCAGCAATTTATCTATTACTTTAATGCTTTTCTTTTTTGCTTATTATTTTTAGAGAATTCATGTGATGATTTCATTTATTAAAATACAAATTACATGGAGAGAAATTACATGAACTTGCTGATTTTCTATGGCTGATATGGAGAGAGACAGAAAGAAGTTAAAAAATTGTACTCGAGCAATTTTTACAGAGATCGGAGTGATCTTGCCTTTTTTAGTTATTATTCCAAACTTGTTATCTTCTTCTTTTAAGGCCCTTTTCTCTTACATTTTCCTCAAGTGTATCAAACTAAATTCAGCAGCCCCTATTATTGACCGATAAAACAAGATTCAGACCAATACTTTTCTTCTTTAGGAACTCCACACTCCACTCGCCTCGACTGGGGATCGTCGATAGAAAAACAATAACTAACTTGATCGTTTGACTGCAGGATTCATATGCATTATGTCGAGTTTTCAAGAAAAATGGTGTGTGCACCGAAGTAGAAGATCAAGGGCAATGTAGCGTATCGTTGCTCGACTATCCTCAGGGAGTCACGACCGAGTGCGAAACAATGTCCCCGGACGTTCCCTTGGCATCTTCGTCCACAATTTGTATGGAAGAAGAAGAGAAAGACGAGTCGTGGATGCAGTTCATTACAGATGATGTATGGTGTTCATCCAATGGACCTTTTGGTGGTGAAGAGGTGTCTCAAATGGGATTTACAAACTGATTAACAATTATTTGTGGGATGATTAATTAGTAACATAATAATTAACTTATAATTGATGCATATGATAACTTGAAGACGTTTCTTAAATTTTTCTGGTTTTCATTGTGCAATCTGATTATATGTAATTGTATTTAATTTTTTGTGTTATTGTATTGGGTGGTGATATTATTGAAGCCATGGTTACCTTATGGCTATATAGATTTAGATGTTTGTTACTTGTGGAATAAAAAGCAGATCCCTTCAAGGACAATTTTTTTGTATTTCAATTTCTTTTTTCACCTTTTCAATTAGTCCATAATATTTGCAGCTTTCTTTACTAATTCAAGGGACAATAAAATAATATTATAATTGTTACACCATAAATTCCTATGGAGGCCACGTAGCTACCAACTTAAGACCATGTTTGGCAGAGTTAAAAATCATATTTTTAATAAATTTTAATAAAATTTGATTAATGTGTGGTTGAAAATTGATAAATTTGTTAATCTCATGAATTATGCAATTAAAATTAATATTAACTTTACTTAAATTTGTATCAACTTTTTAAAGTCATGCGAAGGGCATATATGCCTGCGACAGTGAACCGTACAGAGATATGGGGCCATTGGGCCCATTCTATGAGGTCCATCTAAGGTAGATGGGCCTTTAAAGATAGGGTCATGGGGGGATTTCTCCTACTCTCAAGTAAAATTCCCTATCTATTTAAAGACTAAAGAGAAAATTAGGCTAATGAAGTACAATGAGAGGGGCAATGAAACCCCTAAACTCAAGAGTTGCATTGGAAGGAGTAGAAAGCGTTTTCACGATATAAAATTACATGTGATTTTCTTAATGCACATGTGATTTTAAAATGATTGTTCAAGTTATTAATGGATTGAATCGTAAAACACAAGGTTATGGATGACAATGGGTGAGGACTATGTTCCCCATCTCTCGTCTCAATTTCCTCCCATTCCGGAAAAGGTAATGCACGACAATATAGGCACACAAGCAAACATTTTGTCATCCCTATTGAAAAATGAAAGATTCAATAAAATGCACCTATATGTATAACTGGTAGGACAACCATTAAGAATATAGCACCTTAGCATACGAGGTTTTAAATGGCTCGGGATTCGAAGTGTCATTGTCTAACGAATAATGTCATTCAATGCGATAGGCGTATTACGTGACATCTTGTATGACAGTTTATGATTTAATGCATTAATGTATTAGTGTTTTTTTATTTTTATTTTTTATGTCACATGCATCAAATTACTAACCGTCACATGTATGCCTCGTAGAACGACTGCGATAGGTAGAGAATACAAATAACATAATTCTTATCTAAATGACATATCCTATTACCAAGTTTTTCTTCCATTGGAGGTACATTGCAGCCAATAAAACAAGCGACAGGTCGCCCCCAGGGCATATCTCCCAGTGGCAAAGGGGAGGGCGAATAGGGCTCAGCGCGACAGTGTGCAGAGTTCGATTCCCCGCAAGGTGGAATTGGTTTTGTTGCAAGCGGGAGTTACCATATGGGTTAACAGCCTTGGCCTATCCATGTGCTCTCACCCTGACTCCTGGGAGGCACATCCTGCGATTTACCTCCTCCACGATAACTTAGGGCAGGGTCGGTGGGGGCCCTTAAGGTTGAGGTTCAACCTTTAAACAAGCGGCAGGTTGGGGAAAAGAAATTATTATATTTTGGGAGCAGAATAATAATTATTGGCAATTGAAAAAGCTTTTGCCTTTATTTTACTTTGACATAAAAGTTTTTACCTTTAATTCCACTACTAATTTAATGGTCATTATATTAATGGATAAAACCAAATATGATGACACGACAAAGATAATATTGTATCAATGACGTAAAACCCTGACGACAAAGAATTGATTGTAATCTTTAAGCTTAGATACAATTATTAAAATTTAATCATGCAGAAAAAATCGCGAAGTGCGATGGAACTAGCAAAAGATACTTGTTAACACAGAGAGTGAAATGCAAAATAAATAAATAAACACACGACTAGAAATATAAAACATTTAACCAAGCATAAATAATAGTGCTAAAACACTAGTGGTGCTACGTGATAGGTCTCATTAAACGTAAAATTATTAGACTCGTTTAATTAGATCTATCATTCAGTATCATTTGATGTCACCACTACCGACGGTAAGTAGCATTACTCATGTTTAATGGCTACTTTTGGTGAAAGTAGTCAATGAAAATTGAAAAACCAACTCTTATTATTAGCATACCTTAATTTTTTGTCATATTATAGTTTAATTCTTTCTAAATTTTTGCGTTGTGTATATATATATATATATATATATATATATATATATATATATATAATAATTTCTTAGCTGTAAAATTATAGATAGCACACATACCTCGGTCAACACTAGGGAATGTTTAGTTGCACATGGTATATATATATATATATAGTACATAAACTTTATCCATAGTTATGAATCTTAAATTGGTCCGTCTGATTCGGCTCAAAATTAGTCAACCAGTCAATGATTCGTTTGGATTACAATCTTGGATTGTTTGACACTTGAATCAATTAAAGCACGTTCAAACGGATTGGCAGGAACCGGAGCTGGTTGGTAGGTTAAATCGACTCAGATTTCTTAGCTGTAAAATTATAGATAGCACACATACCTCGGTCAACACTAGGGAATGTTTAGTTGCACATGGTATATATATATATATATAGTACATAAACTTTATCCATAGTTATGAATCTTAAATTGGTCCGTCTGATTCGGCTCAAAATTAGTCAACCAGTCAATGATTCGTTTGGATTACAATCTTGGATTGTTTGACACTTGAATCAATTAAAGCACGTTCAAACGGATTGGCAGGAACCGGAGCTGGTTGGTAGGTTAAATCGACTCAGATTTCTTAGCTGTAAAATTATAGATAGCACACATACCTCGGTCAACACTAGGGAATGTTTAGTTGCACATGGTATATATATATATATATAGTACATAAACTTTATCCATAGTTATGAATCTTAAATTGGTCCGTCTGATTCGGCTCAAAATTAGTCAACCAGTCAATGATTCGTTTGGATTACAATCTTGGATTGTTTGACACTTGAATCAATTAAAGCACGTTCAAACGGATTGGCAGGAACCGGAGCTGGTTGGTAGGTTAAATCGACTCAGATTTCTTAGCTGTAAAATTATAGATAGCACACATACCTCGGTCAACACTAGGGAATGTTTAGTTGCTCACTACCATGTGACAAGATGACCTAAATTTGTCTAAAAACAATTATCAAACTCAATATAGTGCTCCTCATCTATTCTAAATTTTATAGAGGAAATTTCACCCAGTACACCATTTTTAAAAAAAAATTCCAATTTTACATTTCATAGTTTTTTATTCTGGAAATACTGTAATTTATGCAGTACAAATGAAAATTTAAAAATTCATTCTCTTCCCAATTAATCATTTAACATGCAAAAATCATGCACCAAATAGCCATTATCACTCACCCAAACCCCACCCAAATCCATATCCCCCAATTAACGTTCCTAAATATGAAATGTTTTATATTGACAAAGTAATGTCATCTGTTCATAATATGCACATTATGAAGTTAAATCGAAAGACGGAACATATTTTGTAAGATTACATAGAAGAAGGACAATACAATGTAATATCACCTGTTACATAAATATCATTCATCCGAATCAAACAAATTATGAAGTCAAATAGAAAGACAGAACATATTTTGTAAGATTACATAGAAGAATGACAATACAATGTAATATCACCTCTTACATATTTTGATTGTTCAATTCACTTCGTATGATAATCGATCTACAAAAGTAAGCAATAAAAATTTATCAGTCGATGACACTATACCAGAGGAGATTTAACTGAGATACAAGTTTGTATTCGTCACTTCCACCATTGCTGCTCTTGTTACAGTAGCATTTTAATGGTTTGAATTTGAATTCCCAAGATTTCAGCATTCTCAATTAATTAATTCCGTTTTCTATTCTGCATCTAATTGTGGTTTCAATTAGGGGTTAAAATATGGAAAGTTTGGATTATAGTAAAAGTGGGGAATTTATTTTAGTAATATAGTAATCAGTGACGGATCCAGGGGCGGCGCCCTAGCTGGATCCGCTGAGATATATATATTTTTGTTGGTAATAGATTAAATGTTTACCTTATATTTCTGATAATTGATTTTATTTTCAAACATTCTCTGTAGCTTATTTGGTGAGAGTCAGCCTTAACATACTTCAAGTCTTAAGTTTGAATTCTTGTCAATGGATTTGTTTGTATTATTTTTATTCTATGATTTTTACCAAAATTAAATAAGGGATGGACAATGAGGATTTGAACCTGTAATATCAAGCAAGGGTTGTGATAAATTTAACCATTATGGTACCTTTTGAATTGTGTTACTAAATTTAACAAAATGATATTTTGATTGTTTTAATGCAAACAATTTTGAATATTCAAATTTATACTCTTCCTTTGAATTATACAAAACTTGGCAATAATATTATTTGATGAGTTCTATTTATTCTTATAACATAATTATATATATTCAGTTTGAACAAAATAATTGTTATATTTATACTTTATGCCTTGTTTGAATCCCCTTTTTTTTAAATAAATATTTTTCTTTCTTCTTTTCATCCATACGTTCTTCAATAAAATGATATTACACGTAAATTCAAAATTTTTCTTTATTTTTAGTCACATGTTCTCCATCAAATCATCATTTCAAAATGCATTTTTTGCAAAAAAAAAAAAAAATGGATATCAAAAGGACTTTTAATATTTTATTGCAGTCAACGGTAGACGATCAACGATCGCCCGTGCTGACTCAAACTCCTGAATTCGTCCCTGATAGTAATCCCAACATTTATTTTAGTACAGTAGTAGAAAGTGAAATTTTATTTATTTGTAGGGTATTTCTAATTTTTTTCCCAATTTTATATATGTAAGTCAAAAGAACGGAATATCTAATGTAGCAACATCGAATCCACATTGCACGAATTAAACGTAAAATCATCAAGTTAAATGCTAAACTGATCATGCATAAAATAACATTTTCTAATATAGAATTGAAAAATGGACATGTTCAAATGGTTAAACACTTCATGAAATCTTACTAATAACACTATAAGATTTTTTTAATTTTTTAATTTAATTTAATTAATTAATTTATTATTATTATTTTTTTTTACCAATAATTGCAAAATCATCATGCTCAAATGGTGTTCATATAAATATTTTTGCTGAAATTTCTAAAATATTTCTCATTATTAAACTTTAACCCATTTTTCTTCAAATTCATTTTCAACAACACATTCTTCTAATAAAATAATTGTATAAAAAAGCACAAAATTTTTCCATATTTTTTTAACCACATATTTTTCAAATCTCTCTCTCTCTCAGCTCAACATGGGTTAGAAGTTTTTCGGATTGCAATTAATTTTTTTTTAAAATAGTTTTCCAATTGAACTTCAGAAGTGTGAACTTAAAAACTTCAAAAATTTAATAACAATTAAAGTTTATTTTACAAAGTTTAATGACAATTGTTCAATCATAATAATTACTGCAAAGGGAATAATAATAATTAATCAATTCTTTAATGACAAATGTTTAATCATAATAATTGATAGCATTTGATGAAACTAAAAGCCAAAACACACACCTGTAAAGCACCAAACATCTACTTCCCTATTTGCCACCAATATAATAGTATTTTCGTGCGAGTAATGTTATTCAACACTACTTAAAATGAAATATCAGTCTATGTGCCCCCGGGGGCACAACTCAATTCGTGGATCAATCAACATTTGTCTTGCTTTCAGCAGTAGGGTGGAGGTTCGAATCCTGGTGGGAACCTGCGACCAGATTTATTTGGTATGGAACAATCACTTTGGAGAAGGATCTCTTGTGCGCAGAAGTGTACAGGCGGTGGGAGGAACCTGTGATCCAATTGAGACATAATCTGCGATTTACCCCCTCCAAGGTTCTAGGGGTAAGGGTCTTGGGGGTCCAGGATTTAATCTGTGCAAGCTAAGATACCTGAATATCAAAAAAAAAAAAATACTAGTCTATGTCATTACTGTATAGTATTAAATGATATCATCATTTAAATGTAATATCACATAATTTATTTAATTGAACGTATTAATTATGATCATATAGCCTGGCGCTCTGACTATTGATGCTAGATACCTTATTTATTTTTGTGCATTATCTGAAAAATTCCTGTCTTACACGTGGCAGTAAGCGATTAGAAAATATTTATATAAACTCGCGATTGGCTGAGAAACGAGGGCTGTTTATTGCATTTTTGGTCTGCAGCACCGAGACTGGTCTTGTCCAATCATATGACAAACACGGGGCCTCGTTTGTATCCTTGTACTTGCTTTCATTTATTGCGCTAAACTCCTCAAAGTTTACTAAAATAATGTTTCAGCCTCCATTGAAATTCAAGAGTTTTATATTAGCCCATTAACATTTCAAAATAAGTGAAAATTGACTATGCTAAGATTTCAAGTGTTTTATTTATTATTGTTATTTCCAATTAAATGTTTTATTTAAAATATGGAGTACTGCTCATGAATTTAAGCAAATAAAAATTACATTTTAACACATCGACTTTATCATTTGCGAGTTTAATAATATTAAATTTCACTCAATTCAAGAAATTTTTTTAATCGTAATTTAAGTTTATCTTATTCTTTTATGTTTAACGTTCAAAAGCAATACTTGACATTGATTTTTATTTCAATCACGCTACACATCCAAACTTCAATTTAGATGGGATAGGTGTCGACACATGATTGGACAGTTTAAAAAATATAAAACAAAAACATCCAATCATTTTTAGACCCATTAATCTATCTCTTTTCTCTTTTGTTTTTAACCCTAGACAAATGGATTTATTCTTTTTATTTTATGTAAGAAAAAAGAGATAATTATTGGTTACTGAATTTAGGTGCATGTCATTGATTGGTCACTGAAATTTAAAATGTTGAGTTTTTACTACTAAACTTTGAACAATGTCAAGTTTTGGTCACTGAACTTAGGTCTATGCCTTCGAAAATGTCGAATTTTGGACATTGAACTTTGAAAAATATTGTACATTATTCACTGCAAACTCGATATTTTTCAAAGTTCAACAGTTATGATAGTGTACGTACGCCATATTTTAAAGTTCAGTGATCAAAACTCGACATTTTAAATTTCAGTGAACAATCTAAGATATGGATCTAAATTATTCATTGAGCAATTGAAGAAATTCATCTAAGTTCAGTGATCAAAATTCAATAATTTAAACTTTGTGACCAATAAAAAATATGGATCTAAGTTGAGTGATCAAAAGTCGATATTTTTCAAAATTTAGTGGCCAAAACTCGATATTTTAAAGTTCAATAGCCAATCAAAGATACTAACCTAAGTTCAGTGACCATTGGAACAATTAACTCAAGAAAAAACTGTGACATGATAGTTTCAAAAGGACAACAATTACCCAGTAACTTTGTTTGTATTCTGTACTCACGTGGATGGCATTTTCGCAGCCTCTATTAACTACCACGTCACTTTCTGAACTATCCACTTCCATTTTTTATTTGTAATTATCCCTTTCTTCAACTCTTGTAGGTGTCCGTTAGTGTTTGGGGAAAGAGGTGGTGTGGTGGTGGGCTTCGGATTTTTTCCTTAGCAGTTCGACGACAAATCCTAAAGCGGTTTCAAGGTAAAACGGAAAGTCTGATGTAAAATGCGCAGTTAATGATGTGTCTGAGTTTGTTAAATTCTCCGTGTTTTTGGTTTGATCCTGTTGGATTGAGAATTTTAGTGACTTATTATGAGTTCATTTTGATGATTAATATTGGGTTTATGTTATGAGAAGATATGTTAGTGTTTGGGGAAAGAGGTGGTGTGGTGGTGGGCTTCGGATTTTTTCCTTAGCAGTTCGACGACAAATCCTAAAGCGGTTTCAAGGTAAAACGGAAAGTCTGATGTAAAATGCGCAGTTAATGATGTGTCTGAGTTTGTTAAATTCTCCGTGTTTTTGGTTTGATCCTGTTGGATTGAGAATTTTAGTGACTTATTATGAGTTCATTTTGATGATTAATATTGGGTTTATGTTATGAGAAGATATCTTTACATGTAAAAATACAAAACATAAGCATACTTTTACTTTTCTATACGAAGAGCCTTGGCTTCCGGGGTTTGCTTTTAGGGTGTTTGTAGCGTTTTAGAAATTTTCATTTGCTGAATATGTGTTCAGTTCTCTGATGTTTCTAGGATTTAGTGATCATGTCTCATGAAGAATAACTGGATTGTTTTGGCACTTCATTTTTTTTTTTTCTTTTAAATGAATTTTGAAGGAGTCTTACCACTGTCTACTTAAGTGCTACTTTCTATCATGGCATCTGTAATAATGATATTTAAATGCATGGAAAGTGGACACTAAATGTTTTGGCAATGCCATTTTGTCTTTTATAGAAAACCGCTCTAAATTGGTGTATTAGAAATGGAGTAGTTGGCAAATTATATGTGATAACCCTTTTTGCTTTAGGGTGTGATTATCTGCAGGATTCTAATGCATAAGAAGCCGAGTATCAATAATGTTTATTGTTCTCAGTGAAGAAACTTGATTGAGCAGGATGAATACTTAAAAATGGTTACCGATAAAAGTATGATAGCATTTATCTTTCTCCTTTTACTTATTTTAATTTTTGTGGGATGGGATTTAAAAATGCATTGCTTGGATTTGAACTACCATTTCTATCTCGGTTATGCCCATTTTTCCAGAAGTTGCATTTTTTATTTTTATTTTTATCACTTTATAGTTTTGCCCCTGAACTGGTTGTTTATTATTTTTTCCAGTTTATGTGACTATGATTATTCATGTACTAAAACTGTACTTGAATTTGGTAGAAACAGTTTCTAATTCCTCTTTGCAGTAGTAGTTACCATGCTGAGGAAGAAGCGAACTGATCATCCTGGTAGAGGCAAGGGCCCTGACTCCCAGGAGACTGAACGAGGACATGGCCGTGTCCAACATCTACATCAGCAAGGTGGAGTGAGAGGATGGGGTCAACAGCGTGGAGGGTATGGTGGCCACGGCGGGAGAGGTGGAAGAATCTTTCCGCAACAGTATTATGATGGGCCTTCTGAATATCAGCAAGGGAGGGGTGGTCAGCAGTATCAAGCACCCCCTCAGCACCGTGGTGGCATTGGAGGTGGCCATGGGGCTCCTGCTGGCGTGCTGTTCAGGCCACCAGCTCCCGAGCTGCACCAAGCAACCCAGGTCCCATACCAAGCTGGGGTGACAACTCATCCATCGCCATACCAGAGGCCTGCACACACAGATGCTGAGGCTCATTCTTCATCCCGGCCACCTGAGGTAACATCTTCACAAGAGACCCAACATATCCAGCAGCAAGTTATCCAGCTAGGAGCATCTCCTTGCGATGCAATGCAACCTGCATCGAGCAAATCAATGAGATTTCCTCTACGGCCTGGCAAGGGTAGCTATGGTACCAAGTGTTTTGTGAAGGCTAATCACTTTTTTGCCGAGTTGCCTGAGAAGGACTTCCATCATTATGATGTGAGTTCTTCCTTGCCATCTCTAATTTAATTTGTTTCTTTTTAGGCACTGGGTTGTTTTTTCTTGTATAATTTGATTGCTAATCTTTTTTTAGCTTACCGGTATTAGGTATCAATTACCCCTGAGATCTCAGTCCGCGACGTTAATCGTGCTGTGATACAGCAATTGGTGAAGCTTTACCGGGAATCGCATTTAGGACAGAGGCTTCCTGCTTATGATGGAAGAAAGAGTCTTTACACTGCTGGGCCTCTCCCTTTTGTCTCAAGAGAGTTCAAGATCATCCTTATTGATGAAGAAGATGGACCAGCCAGCACTAGGTATCATTCCTAATTCTCTTCAATGTTTGTTGTCTACCCTGGTTTGCGCAATAATTTTATCCTGTAACAAGTTTTTAGCCATTGATTTCTGGTTTATCTATTGATGAAGGCGCCAGAGGGAGTTCAAGGTCGTGATCAAATTTGCTGCACGTGCTGACTTGCATCATTTAGGGATGTTTTTGCAGGGAAGGCTCGCTGATGTGCCACAAGAAACTCTTAAGGTTTTGGACATTGTTCTCCGCCAATTGCCAACTACCCGGTAGGTATATCGGCCTTGTGTTACTTATTATTTCTGCTATCAAATTTTCTTGCCGTTCATTTGATTTGATTTGTCTTTGTTAAGTGCAGGTTTTATTCAGCTAGCCGCTCATTCTATTCCCCTCATTTAGGAAGAAAGGAGCATTTGGGTGAAGGGCTGGAAAGTTGGCGTGGTTTCTACCAAAGTATTCGCCCAACTCAGATGGGGTTGTCCCTGAACATTGGTGAGCAAGTCTTGCCATTTATTTGAATTTTAAATTGCATTTCCTTTCTACTAATTAGATCCTCTTTTTACCTTTGAACTTTATCTCTAGTTTGCTTACTCATGGGGGAAGTAGTTTTTATTTTTATAATGAAATTTGCCTTCATCTTTTCTAAAAACTATATCTTTCTTCTGCTGTACAATGTTGTGTCACTGAGCAGATATGTCATCTAGTGCTTTCATTGAGCCACTCCCAGTGATTGATTTTGTCGCACAGCTTTTGAATAGGGATGTTTCGGCTAAACCACTGTCCGATGCTGATCGAGTAAAGGTTAGATACTGCATCTCCTCTCTTTATTACTTTTTCACAGTGCGTTTTGGTTGCATGCTTCATTTCTTCTTATTTACCGAGCTTGGTCACTGCACGTTTTAGTTGTCATGGTAGGGAGGTTTTGAAATTGAGATTCCTAGTTTGGCACTAGGTGCATCTCAAGGACAAGCCTCTTTTCAGAACACTGATCTTATGCTACTGGTTTGACGTATTAGCGGCCCTTTTCAGAGCAACATCCAACACCGCCAAAGTATGACTGTCCTCATATAAGGTACCATGACGACCTCAAGTCAAAGGACCAATTTCACTACCGAACGTTAGAGATTAACCACCGACACTCAGATAGTTATCCATGTGGAATCTCTCGACGGGTCTCCAATGTTTTGTTCTATAACAAATATCCACCTGTTCATTTAAGTGTTACCACACTTTAACTTGTGAGATCAGCTACTTACTTCACAAGTAAGAAATGCCACACGTGATGGTCTATCCGTAATAACGATATCCGTATCTCGTTATTACTTACGACCACGGATGATTTAAGATTCAATCAGATGTAATTTGTATCTCACAATCACAACTCCTTGTGATTAACAAATTAAAATATTTGAATCTACGGACTCTATTATTTATTTAATTGTCTATTAATTAAATAATAGATCTGCCATTTAATTGCATTAATTATATATAAAAGTATTTATGTCCAAAGTCGATTGGACCTAGGGCATAATACTTACAAAAATTACAACCTTCATCGCTGTGGTTATTGTGGTTTGATCCAAGGGATGCTTTTGCGATATTTTATTTTATTTATAGGGCTTCATGAGGCATTATATGAACTGATGGGGAAAAGGATGAAGGTCATGTAGACATTTTCCTTACATCATATTCGATACTGCTTGATATTTATAGTTCCCTGTTAACTGTTAATGGATACAGTGTATACTAATTCATTGAGTGCAAGTACTATAACACTATAATTTTGCTTGATGCATCATTATTTTATTAATCTCTCATTTGAAAGAGTGAAGCATCAGTATCAAGAATTATTTTTGGGGAGTGTGCGAATTTTATAATATAAATTCTTCATTTTTTTTTTAACGCAAATTGTCACTTTTGGTATCTGAACGATGCATTTTTACGCTGAGAGAGTGCTTAAAGTGCTTTGACACCTTTTTCATCAGACTGTGCATCATAATGCTTACTCAGAGGACCCTTATGCGAAAGAGTTCGGAATTGAAATTAGTCAAAAACTGGCTCAAGTTGAGGCTCGCATTCTGCCTGCTCCCCGGGTACTTTACTTTGATCATTTCTCTTGCTGTATATATGTTGACGTAAATTTTCTTGGTCATTTTGATGGTAAATTGTTTCACAAGTTTGGTGTTGTTTTTACAGCTTAAATATCATGATTCTAGTCGAGACAGGGACTGTTTGCCACAAGTTGGGCAGTGGAACATGATGAACAGAGTAATTTCAATTTTAAAGTTCTAATTTATTCTGCCATCTAAGCTAAAATGAACCAGAACTTCATGCATTGTTATCTTCTTATGTTTATTTTGCTTATTGCTCCAAACAGCATAGCTTTCACCTTGCAATGTTGTTCAAGTTGCATTTTTATTTTTATTTTTATTTTTATAATCATATTTGATCTTGCAGAGGATGATTAATGGAGGCACTGTCAACAGTTGGATCTGCATTAACTTTGCCCGCAATGTGCGTGACAATATGGCACAAAGCTTTTGTCATGACCTTGCTCAAATGTGTATTACTTCTGGCATGGTAAAGGCATTTGGATTTTTAACTCTTCTTTATACTGTAATATGTGAATTCTGATTTTTGTATTTTCTCACAGGCCTTCAACCCTGAACCTATTCTACCAGTTTTTACCGGGCGGCCAGATCAGGTGGAAAGAGTCTTAAAAGCTAGATTTCACGATGTCATGGCAAAGCTGCAGCATCATGGGAAGGAGCTTGACTTGCTAATTGTTATATTACCAGACAATAACGGCCCCCTTTATGGTAAGAAACTTGTGATAATCAAAACAACAGTCCTCCTCTATTTTTAGGCACCGTGCACGAATTTGATATTTGTTTGATTTTGTAATAAAATGCACATTTGATTTTGTACAGGTAATCTGAAAAGAATATGTGAGACAGACCTTGGTATTGTCTCACAGTGCTGTCTGCAAAAGAATGTGTACAAGGCGAACAAACAACAGTATCTTGCAAATGTAGCACTGAAGATAAATGTGAAGGCTGGAGGGAGAAACACTGTGCTGGTCGACGCACTCACTAGGCGTATCCCTCTTGTCAGTGACCGACCTACAATTATTTTTGGTGCTGATGTTACACATCCCCAACCTGGCGAGGATTCTAGCCCATCCATTGCTGCCGTAAGATTCTCTCTTGAGAGCTATAAGATGCTTCTTCCATATATTTGGTTTCATCTTTCTGTTGAGGTCAACTTAATGTTACTAGAATTTCATTTCAGGTTGTTGCTTCCCAGGACTGGCCAGAGGTCACAAAATATGCTGGGTTGGTTTGTGCTCAAGCTCATAGGCAAGAGCTTATCCAAGATTTGTATAAAACCTGGCAAGACCCTGTTAGAGGAACTGTGACAGGTGGCATGATCAAGTATGACATCTAACACTTCCACCTACCAATGGAAATTCTTTTACTCCACCCTTCCCACTCATGTATATGAGAGAAATAGTTGATTTATCATTTATGCTTATTTGGATTATAATTACATGGTTAATAGACATGTTTTTGTGGTTCTACAATTTAGGGAACTGCTCATTTCTTTCCATAGAGCAACTGGACAGAAGCCACAGCGGATTATTTTCTATAGGTATTGTCATTTATCAGTGAAATTATTCTGTCATTTTGGTTACCACTCTTTCCGTCATTTGTAACCTCACTATATGTGGCTGTCTACAGGGATGGTGTTAGTGAAGGGCAGTTCTATCAAGTTCTGCTTTATGAACTTGATGCCATCCGTAAGGTACTCCCTCTTTAGATTCGCGGAGTTCCATGAAACAGGCATCTAATTCCTATATTTTAATTGCTCCTTGTTTAATCTAATTCAGGCTTGTGCATCTTTGGAACCAAACTATCAACCCCCGGTTACATTTGTTGTGGTTCAGAAACGTCATCATACAAGGTTGTTTGCCAGTAACCATAATGACAGACATGCTGTCGACAAAAGTGGAAATATACTGCCTGGTATGGAGTTTAATTGAGTCACTCAGGTTTAGTGTTTTGCATTTGATATTATTATACAACACGATTCACCTTAAATACGAATATTTTCAGGTACCGTCGTAGATTCAAAGATATGCCATCCTACTGAGTTTGATTTCTACCTCTGCAGCCATGCTGGGGTGAAGGTAGAGCTTCACTTCCATTTAGTTTATGCTTTGATACAATATCATTATCGTATCGCTTACTGAAATTCAATCTTCCAGGGTACCAGCCGGCCAGCACATTATCATGTGCTGTGGGATGAAAATAAGTTCACAGCTGACGCCCTCCAGTCCCTCACAAATAACCTATGCTACACGTAAGTGCCTGATGCATATTGATTTTTTTAGGTAAAATAAATTTCTAATCAGTTTCATTTCAACTGCAGGTATGTGAGGTGCACCCGCTCTGTTTCCGTTGGTACGATTCTTTTTTATATGATTTCATGTTTTTTCTGAGAGAACTGCACTTTCGTTCCCAGTTTATTGCCCAAATTGCAAGTTGGTCTTCAACCTTACATTACAGTTCCACCATCAGTCTCCAATGCCAAAAATATCCAAATCTCCTCTTAAGTGACCCGCTCACGTCCTACTTCATGAAGATTCTGTTTATCAACTTGGATTGAGTTGGTGCCAAGAAATATGATGTGCCACATATCATGTTTTGGACAGTTTCAGTTGTTTTGGGGACTGTATGTGCAACAAAAATGAGAGGTGGAGAACCAACTTGCTAGTCAGATAATTTGTTACAGACCGAAGAATTTTCCTTCTGTACTTGACAAGGCTACTTAGAAAAATTTATATGCTGTTAACAAATGTTTATATTTTCCGGCACTACCACCTGTATACTACGCACATCTGGCTGCATTTCGTGCTCGTTTCTACATGGAGCCTGATACGTCCGACAGTGGGTCAATGACTGGTGGTGCTAGGAATGCGAAGGTTGCAGCAGCCAATGCTGCTGTGAGACCTCTGCCCCAGCTCAAGGAGAACGTGAAGAGAGTAATGTTTTATTGTTAGAGTTGTCTTCAAGAAACGGTGGAAGGCAGAATTGAATAATTACTAAGTTGATTATTGTCTCTCTGAGAATCTAAACTCGAACTTCATTACTGTGGTTTAAAACTCTGTGATGACTTGAAGATTGGTGCTTTTAAATTTGTGGGCATTTGAAACACATAATCCTTTTCATTATTGAGTATTGACATAAAATTTTTGAATTTTCTATTAATTACAGTAAGAATAGTAATTAATAATATATTTTTTATTACAATAATAAATAATTTGTACGATTAATCCCATTTATATTGAAAAAATCAAATTACGAAGATTAGTAGACTTTTTTCTCGCACGTTAATTATACTAAATTATGTGCACTAAGTATTAGGAACTCAGTTTTAAGTAATTTCATTTATCCATATAAATATTACCACAATTTTTAAAATCACAGTTTTCAAAGTGTTTGAAAAGGGCCAAGGCCAAAGTGATATGAATTATCTTACACTATCACAAGTTTGATATATTGATTGAAACAACACACTCACATGATGTCGGTATTATTTTATTTGCGCGAAATCCATGTCTCGAATGTGAGTTAAGTGTCAATAAATGTGGTCGTTTGACTTAATCCAAATGGTAGGACTAGGACATTTCCTCAAACTTGAAGGGATTAGGATAATAATTCATTACTCTCTCTCCCTATCCTCACCAACGCCGCCGTTCCCCGCCGTTGCGGGCCTGCAGTAAGAAGAAAATGCTCACCACAGCTGTTACAAATCATCATCTTCCACACCTCTTTCTTGCCCCACCGCAACCACCAATTAGCAGAACGCTGCTCGGAGTAAAAAGACAGTTTCATCCCTCACTTCGATCCCTAATACGTAGTCTATGCGTTGTGTCATGCCTCCCACCATCTTCTTCTTCTTCTACACCGAGGACCCGTTTCATTCCATCCACCAAGCTCTTCATCAGTGGTTAGCTCTGCGTTCTAATAATTCACTTTTTGTTATTTATTTTATTATTGGGGAATCTTGATTGCATCATTTATTTGTTTTATTAAAGAATAATTCAATCCATTTCATGCTGTAACCAATGGAGAACCCTTTTTGAGTAGTAATATTTTGAATTTTATTGTATTTTCTTGAACAAATATTATTCAAGTTTGTTTGTAAAGTCTTTACTGGTGGAACAAATTTTAACTTATTACGTTCTCAGAATGTTTATTTTTTTTTTCACCCCAAATTTGAAGATTCTGCATTCTTGGTTTAATTTATTCTTATTTGCCTTGTCATTTGCTCAAGATCTTTGTCTGTTTGTAGTAAATAATGCCATTAGCAGAGAAAAGAGCAGTTTTGGGGGATAAGATACAATCTTTGAAGGATAAAGTGCTATGTTGATTGTATTGTTTGGTCATGTTCAGTAGATGATACCACATGCATTTAGTATTGCATATTGTGTAAGTGGTCTTGCATGTTTGATGATTATGGCTCGTGCATCATCTCTTGTTCATATATGAGGCCTAATTCTTCACATTGTTCTACAACAAGGTTATGTCACAAAATATTGCCATCTCTGCAGGGCTTTCTTTTCGGACTACAGAGGAGAGTTTAAGGAATGCCTTCAAGAACTTCGGCGAGCTTGTAGAAGGTGAGAAAAATAGCTTTAACTTTAAGTGTTGATCAGTTATTTATTTCAAGCCCTATTGGTGAATATTGCCTCTCTCTTTTATGGAACGGTTGTGTTATTTGTTCCTAGTAAATCTGGTGATGGATAAAATCGCGAACAGACCAAGAGGTTTTGCTTTCTTGCGATATGCAACGGAGGAGGAATCTAAGAAAGCCATTGAAGGAATGCATGGGAAGGTGAGCAGTTCTTTCGTGTGTGCTTTCATTATAAAGTAATATTAAATTCAATCATGTGGAGTTCGATGAAATGTTTAGTTATACATAGACCAATAGATGCAAAGTGTTTTTCTCGAGTTTTATGATGCCTACGGCGACTGTTAGAGTAATGCAATTGTTCACCTTAGATATTAGAAATGGTTTCCTGCACTTATGGGTTTGTGTTTGCCTCCAAAGTCATGATTCATGCTAGTCTTGCTAGCATGAGAACAATGTAAAACTTGGTTTGTATCTTTTACATACAGAAGGCCAATGTAGTGAGAAAAGTGTTAATATTTTTCAAGATACTCATCGTTCCAGAGGACGTAAATATTCTTCAAATTTAGTGTTGGAATGGGTACAGGTGCTTGTGTGGGCTGACCCGAATGGAATTATGGAACCATTTGAAAATGGGTAGCTGGGAGTAGTTTGAATATCACACTTCAATCTCCCTGAACTCCAAATTTGTGGAGTGGAAGACACAATTAGAAATATGTACAAAATTTATGATCCTGTGGAGTATTATTTTCTTAAACCAAATCTGGGATCGTAGCATTAGAAAGTGTTACACTTATAGACAATTAATAATAGAAAGAAGTAGAACCTAAAGAGAAGTGACTTTTGTCTAGAGAACTGAAAGCATACAGCTCAGGTGTAACTTGGAAATTGTGCAGTTTATGAGCTATTATGATACTCAGATGGTACTCAAGAGAGAAATATTTAGACTGTTTTGCCCCAAAAACTAGAATCCAAAAAGGAATGCCATGGCTCATCGGTTCATAATAGCATCATCAGAAAGATGTGATTTTTACCCATATGCCTCTTCATATATTATTGATAACATAAGATGAATTAGTTGAGGCTGAAAAAGGGTTATGTCTCATTCTATATTTTCATTCATTTCACAATAGGGGAGTGGTCAAGCTTTGGTTTGCTGATTCGGTTGATCTCTCAAGTTTCCGTGTATATCAAGCTACTTTTGAGCTAGGCCTTTTCATCTTTCGAGGTTGTTTGACGAAGTTTTTGATAAAAGTTTTGGCATGTTATGATAAAAATTGATTAAATGTGTGGTTAAATGGATGATAAAAGTTGTAGTCTCATGAAGTGTGTGGTTAAAATTAATTATTGATTTTGACCTCAACTTTATAGCAGCTCGTGCAGCTCTCTTGAACAAGCACTTAATATTGGTAGTGATCTTGGCTTGCATGAGACTCATAACTCAAATTCTATTGGTTCCCATCTTTTATTGCGATAGATGCATTTGCTGATGAAACAAATTACATCCGATTCACACTTACCCCCTGTTAATGGTTGAAAATGAGTATGTGAAAAAAAGAGTTTAAAAATAATGGTTGTCAAATAGGGGCTTAGTTGAAGTACATTCTGTATTCCCTTGTGTATTTATACGATACCATGCATCTTTGATATGTTGACCTCAAATTGTTTGATATCTATGTTTTGTATTCTACTCTAAAGATGCAATTACACTTTGCTTCTTAAACTCACTTCAGTGCTATGGAATTTGGTGTTCACTATAACGTTTTCATACCATAAATCCATATTATTGTTTATAATGTGATTTGCTGACACAATACTGCATGATTTGTAGTTTCTGGATGGCCGGGTAATTTTTGTCGAAGTTGCAAAACCAAGATCTGAGCTTCGACGAGGACTCAAAGAGGAACCGAAGCAGTATTGAAGAGGTGGATTCGGTTTTTTCCGCTCACTAGCCATGAAGTTGATCCAGTATTGTTAATAGAGCAGGTCAAGAACACACTACGAGACACTCCCTTGACCAGAGCTGTTACGTGAGTGTCTCCCTACTGGATGATAAAGTTTCGAGCTTAAGCTCTTCCATTGTTTGAACTTGAAGCAGGTTCTTTAAAGAAAATGTCTACGCACTTTTTCTTGTGGAGTGAAAAATGCAAAGGGAAAAATACATTACCAACTTTACTTTCTGCTGCAGAAGTCACTGATTCAAGATTTATTTTTGGGAAAATTGCAGCCGAGATATCAAGCCTTTCGTTTATTATCAAACTTAACCGTCTTATCCTTTTAAAATTAGTCAAAATTCAAGTCAAAGTTAATTATTTGGTCAACTAACAGTCAAATTAACGGTTTCCATCCATTTGAATTTCAACTGCGAGTTTTTGAAAGGTTTGGTATCGTGGGTAGCACAGATGAAAGGTTTGGGTCAAGTCTGATAATAAACAAAAGGCTTGATATCACGGCTGCAATTTCTCCTTTATTTTTTTACCAGAATTTTCGATTATTATATATGTTCACGTGGTTGATGCACTCAGCTATTTAGTTTTAAGAATAAGTCAATCTAAACATGCTTATAATCTTGCTAGAGGAAGCGAAACTGGGCGCCTATGGTAATTAATAATATTAAGGCCCTGTTGAGCCCCATTAGTTTTTCATTAGAATGAAAATTTTGACCGTTATCCATCACATGAAGTTACCATATTTGACTTTTTATCTCTTATGTGGGGCTTATAACGACTATATTTTTTATTCTTATTTTTACAATAATGTGGCTCAAACGGGAGCTAAATAAGACTCGATAGTGGATGGTCTAAAAAGAAAATAAATAAATAAACGTCAATTTCATTATTATTATTATTTTTTACTAATCAACGTTTTTTTTTTTGTTTTTATTAATTTGTTCTTTCATCCTTTGAATGGAAGGTTAAGTTTGAAAATTGTTATTGAGTTGCAACCATTTTAGCTAAAAAAAGAAAAAAAATCTTCAAATTTAAAGACAATTTATATCTAGCCTGAAATTAAGGGGGAAAAAATAGAATAAGAAGAAAGAGTGTTAATTTATGAAGATAAAATTAACAGCTAGTTTGGTAGAGATTTTAATCCAATTAAAATCAATTTTTTGATCGTTAGTTCACTATTTCACTCGTTATTTTTGAATTATACTCTCACAGGTTGGATCCACTTTATCTATAACGATAAAAAAAAATCAATTATCAAAATCTCTATCAAACAAACACTAAGCTCATGTTTGGTTTCCATTCTTTCTTCATTAAAATGAAAAATATAACCGTTATCCATCACATCAAATAATCAAAATTGAATTTCTATCTCTTGTGTGGGGTCTGTAACAACTATATTTTTTTATTTTCATTCTTCCAAAATTAAGAAACAAACGGGGCTAAAATAGGAAAATTATGTCCCTGTTTGATATCCATTCTTTCCTCATTAAAATAAAAAATATAACCGTTATTCATTACATTAAGCCACCAAATTTAAATTTTCATCTTTTGTGTGGAGTCCGTAACGATTATATTTTTCATTCTCATTCTTCAAAAAATAAGAAACAAACGGGGTATATTTATTTTTGTCTAGATGGAGACATTTGCACAAAAGTAAATAAATTATTTATTTTCAAGAATAATTTACAGTCAGCAAACTTTTTCAGCACGCTGAACCTTCTGAGTTTATTATGGAGTACCTTCCACCACCACCGCCGCCATTGCCCCTGCCACCTCCAACGTCGAGATCATAAAGACTCCCTTTGTTCACCCTAACAGCTTCCAAAGCCAAACCTGCCACCGTCACTGAAACTCACTCATGAAGATGTCAATATACGCCACCGTAGAAAGAACACTGTTCAAAGACAAAAACGGCGGAGCAACCCATTTCACAATCATCAAACACCGCTTCTTAAGCTTCTTAATCTGGCAAGCCCTTCGGTTTACTTTTTTACTTTTTCTCTCCAAAACCATTTTACTTTTCCTGCTTACTTCAACCTGTTAAAGTAAGCATTCACAGATCCATTTCCCTATGTAATTGAAGCAATTAACTTTTTCAATTGATAAATTCTAGGTCCATTACCCTGACTGTACCTATCCTTCGGTTCGAGCCAGATTTCACGTGACGATTCCTTGTGCATAACACTAGGATACAACTCCTTAGGGATCGAATTTATGATCCATGATGAAACAATGTGATTACATCTACGCCAAGCAGCATATAGAGGTGAATCTATTGAAGGTCTTGATAAAGATCCATCAATGAAACCTTCTTTGTTTTTCACGCTCAAAGCCATTTCCACAGCTCGACTCCACGTCGAGTAATTTTCATCAGAAAGCATAACCGATACAATCTGCATACCTGTGTTGTCTCCATAGTGCACGTAATAAGGACTCGCAGGATTTGAAATCATTCGTTGAGCTGCAATTATCAGGTCTTTACCACGATTATCAGCTTTTGGTGAAGAATTGTTAGTCGAAACTTCAATTTCAGCATCTGAATTCGTTGCCATGAACGAAAGTCTTGATTAATGCTCTGATACTATGTCAATTTTATACCCTAATTAGAGAGCAAAATGAAAGAAAACACGAATGGGAAAAGAACTTTTCTCTCTTAATACTGTTCGTGATACAATTGTGTATATATATACATTTAACCAAAAAAATGACAACTCAGCTAACTGGTGAATTACATAAATAACCCTACATTCCCGTAAGAAGTGCAGCATCTAAGTGAGGCTTTTCTAGGGGATTCAAGATATTGACTTAGAGCCTGCACTGAGAATGACAAATCTGGTCTTGTAATGGTCAAGTATAACAGCCTTCCAATTAGCCTTCTGTACATTCCTGGATCATCTAGCAACTCCCCTTGATCTTTAGTCAATTTTAGACCCTGCAACATAGGACATTTGGCAGGCTTTGATCCTAAATAACCTGCATCTTCAAGGATTTCCAAGGCATACTTACGTTGACAGACAGCAATGCCTTTGGATGATCTTACAACTTCAAGCCCCAAAAAAAATTTTAAGACTCCTAAATCCTTCAGCTTGAACTGATTGTCCAGATTCCTTTTAAAATGCTCAATGTATGTCAGATCATTTCCTCCTATTATGATGTCATCAACGTAAATGAGCAACACAGTATAAGAGCAGTCAGTTCTCTTGCTGAAAAGTGAGTAATCAGACTTAGATTGAACAAATCCTTGAGATATGATGAAGGATGACAGCTTGGCATTCCATTGCCTTGAGGCTTGTTTGAGTCCATAGATAGATTTGTTAAGTTTGCATACCAATGTGACACCATTCTCCCCCTGCTGCTCATACCCTGGAGGCATCTTCATATATACTTCTTCCTCGAGGTCTCCATGAAGGAAGGCATTGTTTATGTCCAGCTGGTGCAGATGCCAACTTTTACTGGCTGCAACTGCCAACAACGCCTTGACAGAAGCTAACTTAGCCACAGGAGAAAAAGTTTCCTGATAATCAAGGCCAGCCTGTTGAGTAAATCCCCGGGCAACTAACCTGGCTTTCTTTCTATCTTCAGTTCCATCTTGCTTAAGTTTGATCTTGTACACCCACTTACAATCCACAGCCTTCTTATTTGTAGGAAGTGAGGTGACTGTCCAGGTATTATTATTAACTAAAGCCTGATATTCATCATTCATGGCTTGACACCAAGCTGGGGATCGAATTGCCTCTATAAAATTCCTTGGCTCAACATTGGTAGATAGTGACAACACATAAGCCCTGTGAGCTGATGAAAGTGAATCATAACCTAAAGTGTTGGATATATCACAGGATTTGCCAGCACCATGATTGGGAGTAGGTGAGGTAGAATGTTGTTGGGAACGTTGAGAGGCTAGGTCACAATGGAACTATTGGAGATAGCTAGGAGATTTTCGAAGTCTAGTAGATCTGCGAAGAGGGTTGACATTTGAATGTTGTGAAATAGATTGAGGGGTAGGATTAGATATAGGTGAGGATGGGGATAAGGACACAGGAGTAGAGGTAGAAGGTGGCAAAGATGGACTAGGCTGTGATGGTAAAGATGATGTATGAGGAATGCAATCTGATATAAGAGGAGATGAAAAAGGGAATAAAAGGGCTTGTGGAGATTGAGTAGAAGTTGCATCACAGTAACCAAGGGTAGCTAGGAATGTAGGATCATTGAATGGAAATATATTCTCATGAAAAATGACATCCCTAGAAACAAAAACCTCATGTGTATGCATATTGTACAGCTTGTATCCCTTTTGAGTGGGAGGATAACCAATGAAGATGCAAGGAATAGCTCTAGGGTCAAACTTATGCCTATGCCTTTGAAGAGTGGAAGCATAGCATAGTGAACCAAACACTCTTAAATGAGAGTAAGAGGGCTTTGCTGAGAATAGGATCTCATGAGGGGAGTTGTTTGATAGAGATGTACTGGGTATACGATTAATGAGATATGTGGCTGTCAAGATACAATCTCCCCAAAAATTGTCAGGAAGTTTGGCTTGGAATTTTAAAGCTCTAGCAACGTTCAATAAGTGTTGATGTTTACGTTCAACTATGCCATTTTGTTGTGGTCTCTCAACACAACTCACTTGATGTATGATCCCTTTTGAGGAATAAAAGTCAGTCATGATAAATTCAGCGCCATTATCAGATCTTAGTGCCTTAATTTTGGTACTAAACTGAGTTTCAACCATATTGGAAAAGGTTAGGATAATTTTCCTGGTTTGTGACTTAGTTTTCATTAGGAAAGTCCATGTGGATCTACTATAGTCATCCACTATAGTCAAGAAATATTTCGAACCATCAAGTGAATGTGATTGATAAGGACCCCAAATATCACAATGAATTAGCTCAAAAATGGATTGAGAAACATGTAAACTATGAGGAAAAGGTAATCGATGCTGCCTTGCCATAGGACAAATATTACAATGAAAGTCAGAATTCAACACAATTTCAGGTACAAACTTCTGTAAAGTGAAAACTTTAGAATGAGGAATATGTCCTAACCTATAGTGCCATAGTTCAAAAGGCAACCTAGTGACAGCATTAAAACTAGGAACATGGTCATTGTTCATGACTTTATTACAACCAGCATTGAAATGATGAAGAACAGATTTGTTGGAACAGGTAGTGTGTGATGGACCACTGTTTGAAGGAGTACGAAGCTGGTAATGATACAATCTAGCTTCAAGTTTCCCAACTCCAATTGTTGTCCATGTAGAACGGTCCTGAATGAGGCAATGGTCAGATAGGAATATTAGGCAACAATGGTGAGAATGAATGAGTTTGCTAACAGAAACCAGATTGCATTGGAAAGAAGGAATGCACAACACATTAGTTAATGATAGATTTTCAGACAACTTCACAGATCCTATATGAGTCACACGAGCCTCATCTCCATTAAGAAGTTTAACACTTGCATTTACCTCAGCAGTAATGGAGGATAAATGATTGATAGAACGTACCATGTGGTCTGTGGCACCAGTGTCAATTATCCATTTATCTTTAACAGCTGAGACTGCTAGACAATAAGTGTTACCTGAGAATAAGGGAACATCTGGCATAACTAGGTTTGCTTAGCTTTGATTATCAGCATTACCAGATTGAGGGATCACATTTGAGAGTTGAGTGTGAAGTTGTGGCTTCAGTATATTGAGAACTTGTTGGCATTGTTCCGGTGTGATAGTCAAACTTGAGAAACCATTTGACAGATCAGAAGAATTAGCATTTCCAGTTGCTTGATGTGCACTCGAAATTGGTTCCTTGCTTCTGTCCTTTGCCAACCTATGTCCTGGAGGATATCCATGAAGTTTATAACACTTCCCTTGTATATGTCCAAGCATCCCACAGTAATTGCATTTTGGCCGTTCCTTCCTTGAATTTTGGTTTGTGTGTGCTGATCTCTGGTTATTTCCAAAATTTGTTGAATTATTCATCAATCTACTTACAAATGCACCAGTTTCCACATGGACTTGGCTCCTTGATGCAACATCTCTTTGCCTTTCATCTTGTTGAACTAATGCAAACACTTTGTTCAACATTGGTAAAGGCTCCATCAGTAATATCTAACTTCTTACATTGGAATAGCACTCATCTAACCCCATTAGGAACTGCAATATCTGTTCCTCACTTAGATGCCGCACACCATGTGCTCAGATATGTGAAAGGAACACCAGGGCAAGGATTATTCTTTGCAGCAGATTCTAATTTTGAGCTCAAAGCTTTTTGTGATGCAGATTGGGCGTCGTGTGCAAATACAAGAAGGTCAGTTACAGGGTTTTGCATATTTCTTGGAGGGTCCTTAATATCTTGGCGATCAAAGAAGCAACATACTATATCAAGGTCATCAGCTGAAGCAGAATACAGGGCCATGGCAGCAGCAGTCTGTGAAATAATTTGACTTAAGAAGGTGTTGACTGATCTAGGGGTTGATCATCCTAAAGCTGCTCTACTATTCTGTGATAATCAAGCGGCAATGCATATAGCTAGCAATCCTGTCTTTCACGAGAGGACGAAACACATAGAACTAGATTGTCATTTGGTGAGAGAAAAGATACAATCTGGTGACATAAAAACCATGTATTTGTCCACAAAAATCAGCTAGTAGATTTGTTGACTAAAGCTTTAGGGGGAGCTAGATTTCAGATATTATTATCCTAGATGGGTGTTTTGAATATTCATCAGCCATCTTAAGGGGGAGTTTTAGGGGAATGTAGGGTTATTTATGTAATTTACCAGTTAGCTGAGCTGTCATTTTTTTGGTTAAATGTATATATATACACAATTGTATCACGAACAGTAGTAAGAGAGAAAAGTTCTTTTCCCATTCGTGTTTTTTCTCATTTTGCTCTCTAATTAGGGTATAAAATTCACATTTCCCCTTCACTCAATCCCCTTATACTCACAATTTCCTTTCCCTCTTCTATTTCCTTTTCTTCCACTTTTCCCTCTTCCTCTTCGCAATTTCCCTATTCATTCTCTCCTCTCCTAACCCACTTCCCTCTGCATCTCCGCTCGACCTCCTCCTCGGTTTGGCTCGGCTTCTTTTCGTTTCCAGAGGCTCGGCTGAGCCGGAACTTAGGAGAAAAATTAGGGTGTCATTGAGCTATGTTTTGTTTGTGAACTTTTGCGCAGTGGCGGGTGCAGTTTCCTTAATTTGCGTGTGCTGGGGTTGTGAAGTTTATAATGTAGAGTCGAGGTCTAGATGGTATGATGTATATGGGAAGTTGGGGGTTAGAGGTTTTGTGGTGGGGTTGTTTTATGGGATGCACTATGTGTATAAACAGCGATGGCTTTTGCGATTTCCGATTATTCAGGTAACTATGATGTTGATTTATGGGCATAACATTTCATTGTGATGAAATTGTGAAGAAAAAAATGATAAATATTATGCTCTTTTATCTCAATAATGAAAATCGAGTTTTGTAAGAATAATAATACTTGCTAATGTAAATTCAATTTGAAGGGGTGTTTATATGGAATTGTATTTCATCAGTTAGATTTGACAATATATTTGCATACATCCTTGCATATGATGTATTAATAGTTCCTGTTTGTTTTCTGTAAAAATATGTAATGCTTCGATTGTAGACGTTCAGTAACCATACATTATCAAAGTAACCTTTAGTGTCTGCATCTTATGTGTAGCTTTCAATGAAACATAAATGATTCAGAAAGCATTCCTTGAATTTGTTTGATTTTATAATCGCGTCTGCAGGGAGAATACACGTTGATTTGTTAAATATTTTAGAATAGGATGTTTTGTGTGGCAAAACACTTCTAGGTGTAAAAGGCTAATGCTGTTCAATTTTCATTTATTGATTTCCCTGTGTTTATTGTATGGTTACAGAAGCAAATCAGTTCCATTGGATCACCCTTGAAATTTTATTTGCAATGCTTGAAGGATAGATAGATTAAGATTATTCTGTCATGCTGGAGAGATTGTCGTTCTATGAAATCATCAAGAACTGCAGTTTTGTTAATGTGATTCACTTAATAACATAATCCCTTGTATCATGTCTACTATCGACAGCGTCCTCCTTTCTTCAGCTTTAAGATAGGTCTTCCCTTAGCTGTTGGGCAAGCTTTAAAGTTTTCAGCTGCTGGTTACCTGTTATCAGGTGTGCTAGCTTTTTTCCTACCTAATGGATATACAAGTCAGGACACGATGGGAAAGTTCATGAGCGAGCAGATTATCTTCTATATTGGAAGCTTTGTAGTGATTCTTTGTTGGGAATTAAACCATCATTTACATCAGGTTTCTTCCTTAGCAAGCATGTTTTATCAAGAAAAAAAAAAAATTCCCTTTGAACCTTTTGAATTTTAATTCCTTATTGTCACCTAGGAAAGCATCTCAAGTTGTTATCTGACACCATATTATTTGCATGCATGAATAATATCTCTGACTATTTAGGTGATTAAGATTATTCTGTCATGCTGGAGAGATTGTCGTTCTATGAAATCATCAAGAACTGCAGTTTTGTTAATGTGATTCACTTCATAACATAATCCCTTGTATCATGTCTACTATCGACAGCGTCCTCCTTTCTTCAGCTTTAAGATAGGTCTTCCCTTAGCTGTTGGGCAAGCTTTAAAGTTTTCAGCTGCTGGTTACCTGTTATCAGGTGTGCTAGCTTTTTTCCTACCTAATGGATATACAAGTCAGGACACGATGGGAAAGTTCATGAGCGAGCAGATTATCTTCTATATTGGAAGCTTTGTAGTGATTCTTTGTTGGGAATTAAGCCATCATTTACATAGGTTTCTTCCTTAGCAAGCATGTTTTATCAAGGAAAAAAAAAAAAATTCCCTTTGAACCTTTTGAATTTTAATTCCGTATTGTCACCTAGGAAAGCATCTCAAGTTGTTATCTGACACCATATTATTTGCATGCATGAATAATATCTCTGACTATTTAGGTGATACACACAAAGCGGTTTGTATTTGCACCTCCAAAAGGCTCAGCAGCTGCAGAAACAAATCCAAGCGAAGCACTTCTTGACACTCTTGAGGAGAGCACAACAAAGTCTCTTTTGCAGTATCTTGCATATCTTGATCTATGTATGGTATGTGAAAGCAATGTTGATACATGGCGCCGAGCAGCATTCTTTGAAGAGACCGGCGAGACTTATAAAAGAGTAATAGCTGTATGCTTGAGGCCTCTGGAACAGCTCACTGTAAAGCTAAATGAAAGTCTAGATACCCCTTCAATAGATAACTCCTCCCACCTGTCCAGCCAGTTATACTTGCCGGCAAAGGGACCTGAATACTCTAAACTCTGTGAATCAATTTATGACACCCAGGTAGAATTTTAATACTTCTATTCTCGTGTTGATTTGTTCCAGAAATGATATCCTTTTCTTATAATTCGATGTTCACCTTTCAGTTTCTGGAAATTGATATTTATTATGTTGTATGCTGAAGAATTTGTGTAAATATCTGTAAATTTTTTTTTATCAGATCTTCAGATTTGTTTGGGATTCTCAATTCATATATTTAGGTAATTCACGTACTAGAAATTTCATGGTCTTTCAACTGCTTACTAATGTACATGCACTATGTTTCAAACTGACACATTCTCCATTTTTCAGTTATATTGTTTTGTGCATATGATTATACCTTCTCATCATACTATTTATTTTATGCATTTCTTTCTCCATTGGGCCCGCTTCAAACAAAATGAGAAAAAAGGGTAGGAAGGCAGCTGCAGCAGCAGATAAGGAAGAGATTTAGAAAAGTTCATTTACAAAAAATATGTACTCAGTACCTATGATAATTGTTACACACTTCACAACATTTTCATTATAACTGTCAAACAATATATTTTTTTTCAGAGCTTCATTTTTCATTTTGATTTCATTTATCTTGACTGTAAGCATATGCATTTAGACCACTAGGTTGGTCACTGAGACATATCGAGTTTCTGGAAATTGATATTTATTATGTTGTATGCTGAAGAATTTGTGTAAATATCTGTAAATTTTTTTTTATCAGATCTTCAGATTTGTTTGGGATTCTCAATTCATATATTTAAGTAATTCACGTACTAGAAATTTCATGGTCTTTCGACTGCTTACTAATGTACATGCACTGTTTCAAACTGACACATTCTCCATTTTTCAGTTATATTGTTTTGTGCATATGATTATACCTTCTCATCATACTATTTATTTTATGCATTTCTTTCTCCATTGGGCCCGCTTCAAACAAAATGAGAAAAAAGGGTAGGAAGGCAGCTGCAGCAGCAGATAAGGAAGAGATTTAGAAAAGTTCATTTACAAAAAATATGTACTCAGTACCTATGATAATTGTTACACACTTCACAACATTTTCATTATAACTGTCAAACAATATATTTTTTTTCAGAGCTTCATTTTTCATTTTGATTTCATTTATCTTGACTGTAAGCATATGCATTTAGACCACTAGGTTGGTCACTGAGACATATCGAGTAAAGAAAATTATCAAATTAGTACGTTTGGATTCTTGTACAACCGTCACAGTGCTGATGGTAGAGTAACATGTTGATGTTTTATGATGATATATCATGTAACTGCAAGAGACAAATACACTTTCTCTAGAATATGAGATAAGACACTACCTTTTCTGTTATTTGGGAAATTCTTAAAATTATCTAGAGCGTCCACTATATGCTTTTATTTTCCTATTGTGAAATGGAGACATCACATTATTGCTTTCAGTCCTGACCTCAGAGCTCAATTCTCAGATGAGAAAAATTAAATCATATTCTGTTTGTTCCTTTGTCCTATGCCAGTAAACTTCTGGATACATCGCACCACATTGGAATAAAGAAATAATCACCGGCTTTTAACTAAAGGGGTCTATTGCTATTTCTTATGCATCCTAAACTTGCATCTAAACCGAACCTCCACCCTGCACCACCGATTACAATACGAACACAACCAGCAAAACAGAGTAATCTAGTTGCTTTAGCTTGATACTTAACTAGAATATAAAAGTATCTCATCGTCACCGTCCAAGATCAAGAAGTGATAAATAGAGGCATTGTCAGAAAAGGGTTTCAAGTTTGAGCTTGAAGTATTTTCTGTAATTTGTTTTGACATTTGGAATTACTATATTTGAAGCCTTTCAAATTGTGCCCGATTGCCTTTTTACATGAAAGCAAGGGAGGTATTCTATGAATAAGGTCTACTCTTACTATTCGCTACCAAGAGTTTTTGTTTAAAAGTTCAATAGAAAGAACACAAGAATTTGTAATCTTTATGCATGGACATATTTATACCTCTGACAACGGTAGATTTTGTTATTATCCTAAAAAACCTAACCATTCAATTGTGAGGACAGATTGACAAAGAGTGCGTTGTTCAAAAGTCTGAACACCAACAAATTTAGGCAAATTTGTATTCATTTAGAAAGTTGAGTTATCACCTGACTTGTAAAGCTGTTGACTTCTTGACTTAATCTGGTTTTCAGGTTCCTGAGAATCTGATATGGTAGTTGTTTCTGACTCCGCATCAGGCCACTCTGTTTTAATTTTGATTTTAGGGAAATGGGTTTCATGGTAAATTTGCTTGCAAATATGCTGACACTTGTCAAAATTATATGAACACTTAAAACACTGGTCAAAATTTTATGGCTGACATACATCGTGTGATGTGAGACAGAAGTTAAGGGGATAAAGAGAAAATTTAGAAGATCAATGTAGTATAAGAAGTAAAGTATTCTTCTCCTCTTACTTGATAAATATGCAATCAAGGAACCAAAACTAATAATTCTACATCATTGAGAACAAACAGACGAATAGATAGCACTAACTGTTTTCGTAGTACGGTTCCACCATTTGGGCTTTGAACAAGATGCTAACTATTGCTTCTCTATGTCCCAGGTATGTGCCCGGATTGTTTCATCATTGACTGCACGTTCACACAAGGAGGACAGATTTGGGATTGCTCAACTCTCTGGAAGTAATGCTGCCGTTATCTCAATCGTACTATCATGTTTGCTGGCTGTTGAAACTCTCATGGGGAAGAAGACCAACTTACAGTCCCCAAATCATCTGATGGTTCCTGCTGGAATCAATTGGGCCACAATAAGCACAGAGAGAAGAGACTCTACTGTAGGTGCCACAGGAAAAAGAAGAAATAGCCCTTTTTATGCCAAAGCATATGAAATTGCTGGTATTTTGAGGAGTTCAATTTACTGCATTGTCTCTGCCTTCCACAATGAGATGCTCAACAGTTCTAAAGCAGGACATCTTGAGAAGGATTGGATCGTTAGTGGTAAGCCTCTCTATGGAACCCACGAGCTCCTTTTACAGAAATTGCGTCTTTTCTTGGATTACCAAGCTTAGCTAGTGGCTCATTTGTTGGATCTTTTCCTCTCATTCCGTGTGGATACAAATTTTGAATTGTCACTTTTATGATTCTTGCAATGAGCTGAGGTTTCCTTTTTTATTAAATAGAAAAGAAAAAAAAGGAAGACAGACAGTATACCATGTAATCCGCTTCTCTTGAATACTCACAAATATACTGTAAAAGTTCCATTAATATATGGATATTTGGGATCATTTCTGAACCTATATTTTGTTTTAGTATGGCTGTCAGTTTGTAATTTCTCAAAGTATATATTTCACATTTCTGTCAATTATGCAAAATTGGATTCCATGTCTCAATCCTGAAGGGAACAAGAGCCTTATGTAACATGTGGGTTGAATAGGTGATCATCTTTATTTAGTTTACAATACGTACTACACATTGTTATTGCCTTTTCTTTATTGTCGAAAAGTACAGTCTTAGAAACTGGCAGTTCACCAAGCCTTCGTGATTGAGGTACTTGGTAGATATTGTCATTGCTAAAAAAAACTGGCTTTTGTGGCCTAATGGCTTCTTCTTTTCATCTACACATTCATCAGAGTCTTATGCTTTTTTTTTTCTTGGTACACCTTGTTTTTTCCCTAGATGAGATTTCTTGAGGAAAACATGGTCATATCTATAATGTTGTGCTTTGTTTTGAGATAGTTGTGATTTGTGGATGGTCGGAAATTGTTCTCCACTAGGATACTCCCCAGTCCCCTATTTTAACTCACAGCCACAGAACTGGATGACTTCATTGTTTCTAGTCGAGTGTCAAGTTTGGCTAGTGTTTTATGTTCTGTTTATATGTTCTATAGAACTTCATTTAAAGCTGATGAAGTATTTCACAAAATTGTGATGCAGTTTTCATATAATGTGCTTGAAGAGATATATATAATCTTGATTTAACATGGTTCAATATTGTACGAAAAGGTTTGACTCCGATGTGTTTTTTGCTGGTTGTGGCAATGAATCGAATTCAGCGATAAAAAATTGTTGTATTTTGTATAAATGCAAATAAAAATTGACATTTTGTCATTATTTTCTTCCTTTTTTCTCTCTTTTTATTCCTTTCATTCCTCATATTCTTATTTTCTGCAGTTGTCATGTATATATTTTCTAACAAAATAAATTTGACAATTTCCAAAAATGAAAAAATAATGAGGCAGCAATGCCTTGTTCTCCTAGTCTCTTTCATGGTGAACACGTATATCCATTGCCAAGGCATATAGGTTTTCTATAAACCACGAGCAAAATGGGCTAAAATTCTTAGCCTTCTGGAGGATTTGAGTGGGAGAATTGAAATGGATGTCAAGTTCATGTTGAGTCAGTTTTCATATGAGCACAACGGTTATTGGTGGAATCGTAATGGTCCCTTTGTTTATTTATGCTTTTCTTTCAAAATCAGGATTATACGAATATTGGATTTGAAAAACATACGCGCATTTACATCATGAACGAAAAATGAACAATTTTTTGGTATTTGTCAAAGATGTGCGAACAATATTTTCACATTGGGTTAGACATGAATTCTGGACTTTTGCAGAAAGTTGGGGGGCCTCAACTAATCGCGATTATCAGTGATTCCATTATGAGGGTCTAGCACATTAGATATATAATGTAGACCTTGATGGAGTGTGATTTTTCCCATGTAATCACTCAATTATGTGTGGACTAGGATGATTCAAAGCATACTTTGTGACGTGTAAGCAATATTCTCATATCCATTGGACGTTGAATATTCTTGAATTGGTCAGGTGAATGGAATAATACTGAATATTGAGATGAATGAATGGCTAGTGATTAGAGTAGGAGCATCATTTTTTCTTACTCGGATTGCCACCTCCAAGCAATGAGAAACAAGAAACTTTTTTATAGTGGCAGAATGCGTCACTGAACACTTTACAAAAGAGAGGCAGTGGACATTGGCCATGCCAAGTGTAATCCCAATTTCCCAAACCTCTGGATATAAAACAGAGACACTAGGTAAAACTTAAAAAAATACCAAATAATTGAATATGGAAGAAGAAAAACAAGGGCTTGTAAAGGGAAGAGAGAACAGGTTACAATTGACAGTAGATGAAGTGGTTGAAGAATATGTAGGATCATTTGGATTTTCACAACTGGTTCACGTATTTTTGGTGTCATTGGCTTGGATTTTTGATTCCCACAACACTTTGGTCACCATATTTACTGATGCACAACCACACAGTTGGAAATGCATTAGTCCTATATGTGATGAAAATGAGGCTTCTGTTTGTGGATTAAAACCAGGAACTTGGGAATGGGCTGCTGGGAATTCAAGCTCTACTATTGCTGAATGGGGACTGGTGTGTGATCAAAACTTTCTTGCTGCTATACCAGCATCACTCTTCTTCCTCGGTTCCTTACTAGGTAAACATTTTCCATCTCTTGATTTTCGTTGAACCACTTGATCTGAAAGTTTTTACTTGCGCAAACAGGGTCAGCTGTGTATGGTAGGCTAGCAGATGGATTCTTGGGAAGAAAAAGATCAGTGCTTCTTTCATGTCTTCTAACCTCTGCAACAACTTTTCTCACTTCACTTTCTCCAAATATATGGATATATTCTCTTCTCCGTTTTGCCAATGGATTTTCTAGATCAGGCATTGGCATTTGTTGTCTTGTACTCTCAACTGAAGCTGTTGGCCGCAAATGGCGTGGTCAAGTCGGCCAATATGGCTTTTTTTTCTTCACCGCAGGCTTTCTTTCACTTCCTTTGATCGCATATCCAACTAGAACTTGTTGGAGAAACATATACAAGATCATCTCGTTCCTTCCTCTAGTCTATGCCGTTTTTATACTTGTGCCCTTTGTATCGGAGTCTCCTCGTTGGCTTCTAGTCCGAGGTAGGAGCGAAGAAGCTCTTGATGTATTGAAAAGATATGCCAAAGTGAACGGGAAGAAGTTACCTCCAAATCTAAGTCTGCTGGAACCACCTTCTTGTGCTGAACGAGGGGCTGTTCAAGGCACAAAGAACCTATGGAACACTAACTGGGCTGCTAAAAGAATGGCTATAGTAATGATTACTGGTTTTGGAGTTGGTTTTGTCTATTATGGAGTTCAACTCAACGTCGAAAACCTGAACTTTAACCTCTACTTCACGGTAGCCATTAACGCAATGATGGAGATCCCGGCTGTTTTTGTTGGCAGTGTACTCTTGAGCTTCACCAACCGTCGTTTGCTCTTCTCCATATCGGCTTACATTGCTGGAATTTCATGTATCCTCTGCATTATCTTCTCAAGGACATCGCACAAAAAGGGAAATCGATCAAAAGGTAGTTTAGCTCAACTAACTATTGAAGCAATAGGCTTCATGGCTGCTTCAACTGCATTTGATGTGATGTACGTTTATTGTGTGGAGCTTTTCCCTACAAACGTGAGAAATTTCGCTGTTTCTATGCTTCGACAAGCCTTGATGCTAGGCGCGTCTATCGCTCCTCTACTAGTTGTTGTTGGTCGATTCAGCCCGTCTCTTTCGTTTCTTGTATTTGGGCTACTATCCATTGTCAGTGGAATGATAAGCCTGTGGCTTCCTGAGACTAGAAACTCCCCACTCTATGAGACTTTGGAACAGCAAGAAGAGGAAGAAAAATTCAATACTATTAGTGATGACATGGAAATTGAACTGGGCAAAGAGATAAATAACACAAGCGTATTTACAATTTAGTGCAATTTATCACATTCCCACCTCTCCTTGTACATATTTGAATACATTTTGCCACTACAGTTGCTACAGTAGCTCTGAAAGAAGAATGAAAGAGCTAAATTACAAGTATTATATTAATGAAAAGAAATATGCAGCTTGAATAGATGTTTTCTCACATTAGATTCAAGAAAACAAACAAGAACGACGAAACATGTATTAAGATTCTTATCATAAGATTTGATAAAGTTTAACGCTCAAGAACATAGGAAATCGCTACACAGTGCTATTATATACCATCATCTGGTAATTTTTGAATAGTTTTAATTTTCTTGGCTGTTACTAAAATTGAGATGAGGGCCACAAGATCCACAACTGAATAGATCCATTTTCTTGACCCTATTCCACAACTTGGAAACTCTTGCACCTTCAACACCTCCATGTTTAGGCTTGAAGTCCCTTTTCACATTGGCAGCAGCACTTGCACGCACTTTGAAGCAGTTATCCAAACTCACCTGACCTTTAATCCTACCAGTCTTTTTCTTAGCTTTGATTTTCTGTTCATCTTGTTTAACAAGTTGTTCATAGTACTCCTTGTTTCTCTTCTCCAGTCCATATATCTGCCCTTGCAGATCTTCAATCTTTCGACTCAGCACGAATACCCTGTGATCCTCCCTCGTCTTCAACAGACACCTCGCCAACTCAGCAGCCTTTCTCTTCAGAAACAGAGATTCTGAAACCAACCCTTTGTTTTCTTCTGCCAGTGAGGACAATCTGTAGCCCAATGTCGCGTTATCATTAAGTAGTATTAACCTTTCCGACTCGAGCACATCCAACAAGTTCTTTTGCAGCTCTATCTTTCGTGCTGATTCACTAGACCTCTTCTCTGCCATCCTAAGCTCGTTTGAAAGAATCTCGTAGTCCACTGTGTTCATAACCATGTCGGCTACCATCATTTCTACATCCACTTTGGCTGGAAGTGGAAAGGGAGATTGGAAAGACAACGAACTTTCTGCATCTGAATCAATGACTTCCTCCGAGTCTCCATGATCAGACCGTTGATTTTCATTGAAATTCGAGGGCGAAGAACAATGACTACGATGATGATAGTTCTTGGCAAGTGATTGGCAATAACGGTCTGCCAAAGAGAGGTAGTCATTGTACAAGTCTTGAAGCAATGCAAGCAGCTGAGGCCTTTTCTGATAGTAGGCATTGGCCCTTTCTGCAAAGCTATCAGCACTGTCTTCTTTAGGGATTTTTGATATCAGCATCTTCATCCTCTCGTCCAAATCTGATAAAACCGAAATTATTTAATTATATGATAATCTTGGCTTTATTTGTATAACTTTTGAAATTTGAATTCTAACTAGAACACATTTTTTTTTTTTCAAATAATTAACATTCATTTTATTTACAAGAATGGACCCATAGCACGTCCTGGATATCAAACAGCAGTGACAGTTTTGGCTCCATTTGACAATGAAATGGACTCAATTCATTTGAAATTCAAAATGATGTCGCTCAAATTATGCACAACCCTTCGTTTCACCATTAATATTTACCTTCGAGAACAACCATAAACAAGAAAACTAGCTAAATATGCTCAAGGTTATATCTATTCACTGTCAACGTGAAAGC